GAGAACCCCATGAGAATTAATCATTCTCTAAATGTTTCTTTTGAAAGGAGAATCCACATTCAAGAAGTCAATCCATCTGCAGCTGTAGTTACTAGCAATTTTTCCCATACTACTTATAGACTCTAAGCTGTGTTGATGGTGTTCCGGAAATATTTGTGTACTGAAGACCCTGAATAAAAGTTGAGAAATGTACCTCAAAGTAGTAATTGGTATAATGGAGAAAGGGTCCATGTACAACCATGCTGTAGTTTTTGATTAGGGAGAATTGATGTTTTCTGCTTGATAATGTTTATGGATTTCTGTGGCCGCATATAGAGCACATAGAGGACTGAAACCTACATTGTACCCCTTCCAATGTCAATACACCCTTTTTAAGGTGTGGTGCCCAGAAATGCTCTCAGTACTCAGAGTGTTGTAAAGCTCCAAAAGAATTGATACTAGGAACGCTGCTTTATTAAAATTAAAACTTATGCATATGGGCAGCCTTCCTGCTAATGTAATTTCTCCCGCACAACTGCCAGGCTCCGTGCGCGGCAGCAACTTCCAAACTGGAAATCAGTGCTGCGAAAGGTGTCTGTGTGCCAATCAACATTCATAGGCTGTGAATTGTTATATATGTGTACAGCCACCTAGCTTAGAGTGAATGTTGTGTAGAGGGCATAATGTCAATTTAAGTGTTACAAGACTTGGAATAGAGTGAGGATAGAGGTGAAACTTAAAACGGACATAGATGACTGGCAGAATGCGTGGATGTGGTAGATGAAATTAATGCAGAGAGGTGAGGAAGGTTAGATTTTTTTGATATGATGCCTTTCTTTGAAATTCATAATATTGAGGGCACAACCCAGATGCAGGTGCAGGAGCAAAAATACCTGGAAAGATGTGTGCAAATTGTTGAAGGTGGCAGGACAGGTTGAATTAATAGTGAATAAAGAAGATGGCATCCTGGACTTTATAAATGGAAGGATAAATACGAAAGTAATGATAAATGTTTATAAAGCACAGGTTCCTCAATTGGAGTGTTGCCTGTAATTTTGGCAACTGCACCTTAGAAACGGTGCAAAGGCTTTCTTGAGTATGCAGAAAAGGTTCAAGATTGGTTGCACATCACAGGGAAGGGAGAGGTTGAGGTTGTTCTCCCTGGAAAGTCGAATAATGAGGTCGAAAGGAGATTTAATTAAGGTGTTTTTAAAAAAAAAAAAGTTGAGGCCTAGACAAAGTAGATCAGAAGAGCCTACTTCCATTAACCGGGAATGCACAAGTGAACTATAATTCAGGCAACGACTTTTGGCAAAGGCAAAAAAGGAAAACTTAATCAGTAACAAAACTGGAAGAGTTTGTTTCTCTCACTTGTGCTCTCACTCACACTTGCGCTCTCTCCCCCCTACTTCCCTCAGCCTCTTGAAAAATAACACCTATGAAAAAGCAAATTGATTAAACATCTATTCACTGAGAATTTAAAAGAAAACTATAAATTTCACAATTGCTAAGGAAAAAAACTATGGTCTCAGGCTGAAATCTAACATTTCAGAGACTAAGAACTTCAAGTTACCGATTCTTGATCATCCTTTCTGTGCCTGTGTTTGATGCTTTGTTTTATCATTTTTTTTCTCAGTATTAATAAGAAATGAAATTCCTCTTCATTTCACTTAGATCCTTGTAGTTGGATTCTTACTTTTTGACTAATCTTGCATTTTAATTGAAGTGTGATTTAGTTGCTTGCCAGAAGAATAAGTTTCTTTTTGTGCTGTGGCCATAGGAAGGGAGCCGTTCCATCCCTCCTAACCTGGTTGTAACGAGTCCCATAACTTACAGGGTTGCAGAACAAGATGTGAAAGCTGGAGTAAGCTGAATAGCTCTTCTTCCATCAGCACAGATAAAGTGAGCAAAATGGGCTGTCTGTGTAGTTTGCAGGAAATTGGCCTATCTTTTAACCCTGAGATAGCTTGTGGTGATGTTTAAACATTTCAACTACGGTTGCAGATCAGGAATGGGTTCCTCTTCTGATTCAGAAGTAGCAAATGTTTAGTAGTCTCAAAGTAGAATTTGCGTGTGGTCAGATAGTGGTCCTAAATGAGATCCGGGAGATAGGTAGAGGTTGCACCCGGAATATGTCTGCATCTAAAAGATTAAAAAGCTGTTGAATTAAATTAGAATACTTGTCCTTTATATTAGCACGTTTTCTTCTGATATGTATGCGGGGATGACTTTAATGACTGAAGACCAGGTTGTTGGCAAACTTTCATGGTAGATACTTGTTTCTAGTTTTGGAATCTATGCTATACCGACTATATGACTGCCCTAGTACATGCTAACCATGTTTAGCAATGCTGGAAGCACTTGCACTTTAAGTGTACGTTTTTGTGTACTTTTACTAACATGAATAGCTTCACGCATGTGATAACTCTTCAGTTCAGCAATGATCTGTATTTCACTTGCCAGTGCTCTTAATCAAAGCTGCTTCTGAAAAGCCCCAAAATATGTTTCTTTTTGTCGTGTGAGGTGTTTCTGATGGAATTTATTTTTAAACATGAACTCTTTCTCTCTCCACACATGCTCCCAGACTGTGGAGGTTGTCCAGTACTTCCTACTTGCATTTCAGATTTCCAGCATCTACAGTTTTTGTCTTTTTTTAAAAGACAGTTCAACTGATTTAAAAAAAAACTCTATTGTGGAAAAAAAATTGACTAAGTGTCTTTGTTAATGCTTTAAACATGCAAATTCAGCCAATCTATAGAGCCTAGGGTTGGAACTGATGTTCCTTTCAAAACTGTCCTGCCAACTGTGCAGTGTTAAAAATAGTACAGTACTTTTGGCAGTCTGTGAAAATTGTAATTGGTTTTCCCAATTAATTCAAAATAGACTTGAACATTAACTTAAAACCCTTTTTAACCCTACATATGGAAAAAAAATTGTGTTTTGTTTGCTAAACAGACATGAAATGAAATTACAAAAGTCTCTTTAGTCCTAGTATTTGAAAGCAATGATTGCTATACAAAAATGTTTTTTTTTTTCCCCAGCAGTCATCAACAAATAAACTGTGCTAACTATTCATTACTCTTAAATTGCCCACAAACATTTTCTAGGCTTTTACACAGGAACCTATGATTAGAAATCTTCCAGAGTGTGTGGGACTCATATATGAATGGAGCAAGCAACTGTTTCTCCATAATCAGGCAATTGAGAATCATTCCTGACACTGCAGAGTCTGATCTGAAAGTATTGGTTTGTTCTTTAATAACGAAAACACCCACAAGCCTCGCCCTTATTGTCATAGGTAGTCCAGGCCATTGTATGCAGAATCTTAAAAATTTATTTGCAAATTCTTTGTGATGAAGTGAAGCTCTTGCTTCTAAGAAAGGTGCTGAGGTTGGTGTGGAGACCATCATTTTTCTTCTTATTAATATTTAGATTCTTTTTCTTTGTTCATCTATACAACAGTGCTGTTTATCCAATTGCTATTAGGAAAGCTCTAGCTTATTTTGTTGTCTGTAATCAAAAGAAAATTGCTAGAGAATCTCTGGGTGGCATTCTTAGGAAGATTGGTTTTTAATGAGATTGGTAAATTGTAGTGATTGTAACAAGGTTAGCTAGGTGGACCTCATAGAATATGAGTTCCCTGATTGGGGCTGCTTATCAGATTCAGTCAGGGAGTCCTGGCTGACAGATACAAACTGGAGTATCAGACATCCTGTCCACTGAGAGCTGGCTCTGAGGGAGCTGGATCAGTGTCAAGGATTTTCCACATGTATACACAGGGTGACCTGGTGACGGGATACCAGCCTGTGTGGAGTTATTTCACATCCATCCCCCATTTTACAAACCTTGGCACCATGCAGTAGCAAAGCTTCTAATTCACATCAAGTGTAGCACAGGGGATTCTGTAGTAATACAGTTGGGGTGTGGAAGTCATGCATTCTTTTCCTTGTAATATTGTCTTAGTCTTCGTGCCAAACTGGCTGAAGATGACAGAAAGAAAGAGGTAGGGGAGCTTTAGAGAAACAGTTGGAGGATTGCAACCAATACAGTTTGGTGTGTGGACCTCCGAGGTTCATATGCAGTGTTGACTTCCAAAACCCAAAGTCCATGTGTCAGCATACGCTGAACCTCAGAACTTCCATGCAGATCAGATGGAATGTTAGTTGGAAACATGAAGAGAAACAAACCCATAACAGAAAATGCCAAAGCCTTAATTCACAAACCTTTTTAAAACATAACCCATAAGCCTGCTGTTGTCTTTAATCAAAACTCTCCAGGAACAGGGAATATTAAAGTTTACAATCTCTTAATTACTTTTACCATTACACCTTAAGGCCAGGAATCTGACCTGTAGATAGTTGACAATTAAAACCTAAATAAATTCACTCACTGTTTACCCAACAGCTGGTGGATCTATGAGCTTAAAAGTACACTGCTTTACTCTTGCCAAAAAGATAATACATTGCATGCTACATAACCATAATACTTCTATCCCTATAAGACAATGAAACATCTTGCTTAGTTTGAGCAATGTTGTGGATCTTTTGTAAGTAATATATCAAACAGAGCATTTCTGTGGGCACGGATACCACATTGCAAATGTTATGTTTTCCACAGATGCAAAAAATTCTTAAAATGCTGTTGGTTGTGGCCTATATTTCTATTTTCATGCCAAAAGCCAATCAGTGTATTCCAATTTGCAAAAAGGTTTCAAAAATGATTTGTCTGTAAATGATCTGAATGTCTGTTTCTCCTAATTTGTTAGAAAAGGGCACAGCTGAGAAATGACTCAATATTTCTTAAAATAAATGTTATAACCCTGCTTAACAAATGAGTAATCTCCTGGGATATCAGCTATTATGTTGGAAAATGAAACAATTCTTAGCATTACTCGTTTATTGCTTTTTTTAGCAAAACGTTTAGTAGAAAGAAAGACCACACTGTCGTGTGAGAATTTGGCTTTAATTGTGTTTATAAAGTTGAATGGTGCACAGTGCCATTAACACTTCCTTTCTTTCCAGCATGTATGTGTGGACTGTAAGAAGGATTTCTGCACAGCCTGCTCCGTCCAACCTGAGAACAGTCCCAAAATGTGCCACACTTGTCAGAGATTCCGTGCCACTGACTTTGAACGAGGAGAGCTAATGAAACTGAAAGTGAAAGACTTGCGTGATTATCTCCAACTACATGAGATTTCAATGGAGATGTGCAGGGAGAAGTCGGACCTGGTGGACCTAGTGCTGGGACAGCGACCTCCGACTGCCCCAACCCATCATGTGCATATTCCTGTTTATAGAATGGACAATCCTGAGCAGCAGTACTTCATTCCAAATACACACATGGGGACAACAGCATCTACCTCACGGGATGATCCACCGCCATATGGAGCAAACAGCCCAGAACGGTCTCGGCAAGCAAACTTGGTAATTCATAAATTTAGGAGACTGAACAGTAGTCGTACAAGATATTTAAAAACTATATTTGTGTGTTTGTGCCAAACTTAATTCTATATCAGCAGTAGGAAGAAGAAATGACAATTAAGTCATATTTTGGTCAATAAGTCATTTGACTGTGTCTCGTAGATAAGTTATAGATTTGCAACCCATTAAATGCAGCACAACAACTGAGTAAGGATGTACGTTCAAACCAAATTCATTAATTTTACAAAGTTCTAGTGGAAATTAATCGTGTGTATGTATTCCTGGGGTTGTCTTCCAATATGGAAATAAAGAACTTCCTTTGTTTAGTAAAATAGTAGCTAATGGTGATGTCTTGTGTTTACTGGGAAATACTGTAAAACAGTCTATGTAAATAACTTGAGTCAACTGGTGCAGATCATTATCAATGGTTTATGCTGTTCCCATAGAAATTGAAAAATACTGGACTGGCAGTGAACTCTAATTACAAATGATATTTGATCACTGATATATCCTTCAGTATTAGTTGTGAGCTTTTTTAATCTAATGAATCAATTTCATTTTCATTTCATTGACCATTTTGGACTATGAGTATAATGCAATTTCTCTTGTTTTTACATACATAGTTGAACACCGAAATGTCAGTAGAGAATCAGAATGAGTCTGTGTCACAAATGGAGGATGAGACTGAGGTGTGTTGCATCTTAACTTTTGGTGCCATATTGTAGTTCTGTTTTGTTTTTAGAATTCTGTAAATGATACCAGTACAAGATAGCCAGTGGTGATGTTTTCTAAAGTAAATAATAATTTTGTATGTACTATGTTGATCATACTTTTAATCCAAATGGTCTGTTTTTATTGAGCTGGATCAATTATATTCCGCCCCACAGATTTTCACAGAAAACCACTGTAGTGCAAAACAGCAGGCGTTCAAACTTGGCAGCTATTAATTTCAAGATTCCAATCATCCTAAACTAATAATTTTCTGACAGTTGTAACTCTTGAACTATGTTGTGCTATTGCTATCTTCTCATCCATGATGATGGTTCTACAATCTAGAGAATTCAGCAAGATCAAAACCAATCCACCAGCTTTGCAGTTACCACTTAAAACCTGAAAGTTTAAGTCATTAGGACCAGGGGATTTATCAGCTTTTAAATCCCATTAATTTTCCCAGTCTTCTATTTTTAATTTTAATTGCATTTATGTTTCTCAGTCTCATTAGCTATGGACCCTTTACACAACATGCTGTTGTTAAACTTTGACCTTAAAGGTTCAGAAAAGATTTACAAGGGTGTTGCCACAGTTGGAGGGTTTGAGGTATAGGGAGAGGCTGAATAGGTTGTCTGTTTTTCTCTGGAGCATTGAGACTGAGGGCTGATCTTACAGAGGTTTATAAAATCATGAGGGGCATGGATATGGTGAACAGTCATGGTATTTTCCCTATGATAGTGGAGTCCAAAACTGGAAGGCATACGTTTAAAGTGAGAGGGGAAAGATTTAAAAGGGACCTAAGGGACAATATTTTCAGGTAGAAGGTGGTGCCTGTATGGAATGAGCTGCCAGAGGAAGTGGTAGAGGCTGGTGCAGTTACAACATTTAAAAAGGCATCTAGATGGATGTATGAACAGAAAGGGTTTAGAGGGATATGGACCAAATGCTGGCAAATGAGACTAGATTAATTTAGGATATCTGGTTGGCACGAACGAGTTAGACCAAAGGGTCTGTTTCCATGCTGTACATCTTGGTGACTCTCTGATTCTATGACATCAATGAATGGGCATAATAGAGAAAGCATGACCAAGAAGTTTGCGGATTCTGTGAAAATTGTCTTTGTGGTTGATAATGATGAAGAAAGGAAGTAGATTACAAGAATATATCAATGGACTTATCAGGGGGTTAGATAAGTTTCAAATAGAATTCACTCTAGAGGAGTGTGAGGGAATGCATTTGGGGAGAACAAGGAAGGCAAAGGCTTGCACAATTCTGAAAAGTTTAGAGAAACAGGGACCTTGGAATGGTCCAGAAGGAATAAAAGATGCTTTCCTTTAGGAACATTGGATGTGGAGTAGGCCATTTGCCTCTTCAAGCTGCTTAATAAGATCACAGCTGATCTCTCAATGGTACTTTTTATTTGCCCCCATGACCCTAGACTCACTTATCAATCAAAAATCTAAGTCAGCCTTGGAAAAAATTTAAAGACCTAGTCTCCTTTATCTTTACCACCATCTTTAAAGACCCCCTGAGAAAAAAATATTTCCTTCTTATTGCAGTCTTAAAAGGGCAACCTCTTGTTAAGGCTCCCCTACAAAAGAAAACATCTTTCTATTATCCACCCTATCCAGTCCCCTCAAGGTATAGCATGTTTCAATAAGATCACCTCCACCTCTTCTAAACTCTAGAGGATGTAGACCTAACGTGTTCAACTTAGTTCATAAGAATCACACTTCAATCCAGCGATGAAGCCCATGAACCTTCCATCCTAGGGAAATTGCATCTTTTTTTTTATTAAATAACAAAAATAGACCTGTACAGAATGCTCTGGATGTGGTCTCGTACAACTGCTGTAAACCTCCCTAAACTTGTATTCCACTCACCTTGCAAATTGTTTTGTGTGCCTGAATACTAACTTTGGACAAGTTCACATTTATCCACATTATACTCTGTCTGACAATTTTTTGCCATTTACTATCTATATCTCTTTGAAATCTTTGCAAATCCTCTTTACAATTTACTTTCCCACTCATTTTTGGTATCGGTTGCAAATTTAGCTACCATATATTTGGTCCTTTCATCCAAGTTGTTGATATAGATTATAAGTTGTTGAGGACCAGTACTGTTCCCTGTGGCAGTCCAAAAGTTGCAGTTTGTCAATCTGAAAATGACCCATTTCTCCCTACTGTTTGCTTCCCATTAACTAGCCAATTTTCATTCGTGACAATATATTAACCCCATCACCATGAGCTCTTGTTTTGTGCAGCTACATTGTTGTGGTATCTTAACAACTGCTTTATGGAAATTCAAGTACACTATATCTAATGGTTCTGCTGTGAATGAGTCAAAAAACTCTAGCCCATCGTTTAAACACAATTTCCCTTTCATAAAGCCATATTGACTCTGTCTGATCAAATCGTGAATTTCTAAGTATCCTGCTTATAACCTCCTCGATAATCGATTTAAGCACCTCTGCTATGACAGATGTTAGGCTAACTGGCATGTAGTTTCCTGCTTTCTGCCTCACTTTCTTGAATAAAATGTTACATTTTTTATATTTTGCAGTGTACTGGGACTCTTCCAGAATCTAAAGAAGTTTTGAACATTATAACCAATGCACTCACTATCTGCGCTGCTACTTTCTTTAAGACCTTAGGATGCAGGTCATCTGATCCTAAGGACTTTTCAGCCTTCAGGTTCACTAGTTTGCCTGGCAGTGATGATTGTCTTAAGTTTAGCCCTCATTATCACCTCTTGATTTTCCGTTATCTTTGGGAAGTTTTTTCCATCATCTACCACGAAGGCAGACATACACTACCTGTTCAAAGCCTCTGCTATTTCTATTTTCATGATCAAGTCCACAAATACTCCCTCTAGAGGACAGTATAAGATTTTAGTTAAACATTTCCTATTCAAATCTCTTGCTTTCAGTTTTCACATTGCTAGATATTTTATTTCTTACTCTGCTTTCTGCCTCTTTTTATTGTATTTTTAGCCATACTTTGTCAATTCTTTGTCTGCTCAGTCTTCTGACCTACCACCACTACTTGTCGATTGTGTTTCTTTCAACTTAACCCTATCTTATCTTGCACATTTTGTTACAGCTGGTCCTGTTATCTCCAAGAGCCTTTCTTTCACACTGCAATAAATGTTCAGAGTTATTAAATATCTCCATATAGATCTGCCACTGTAACGCCACTGACTTAACCTTTTAACCCAGTTTTCCACCTTAGCCAGCTCTCTCTTCATGGGCTCATAGCGACCCTTATTTATGATTTAAACATTAATCATGGACCACATTTTCCCCTTGCTAACCCCTGTCTCATTATTAACTTGCACAACTAATGAGATATGAATTAGTTAACCAAAGATTAAATATGCTTTATTGCAACATTCATTCATAACTAACAAATGCAAACACTTGCAACTTGTACGGAATACTGTCTGTTAAGACATGAGGTGGTCGGCCTCTGCTTTGAGATTCTTTGTTCTGTCGCTGTGTCACTGACCCAGGGCTCCTTTTTATGTGTGTTGGTCCCAGTTTCTTGTTATACCTAACCTTTCTTTCAGGGTTTATATTTCACCTGGGTCTCTGCCTTTATTTCTGAGTCAACCAGTGATGGACGACCCAATGTCCAATGTCTTCTGTTCCACTCAGCCACCTCTAGGTTCAGTTATTATTTCAGCTGATGCCTGAGCATTATAGCTTTCTTATTGGGCACACAGATGAATATTCTGATTGCAAATGTTCTGCAAACTTGGTTTGCAATTATTCACTTCTCATTTGCTGCAGCTTATAGTATTCCAGAGTTCAATGGTGTCCAAAGTCCACAGCCAGCTCAGCCGTTATAAATGCCTAGTAACCTTTGTTTATGATTTTAAAAGCTAGTCGTGATCCACTTTCCCCTTTGAGCATGAAATTCTATCATGTTGTGATCGCTGCCACCTAGTGGCCCCTTTACCTGAAAGTCATTGATCAATCCTGGCAGTAGTTAAGGTCTAGAATATAAACCAAAAGAACTGCGGAT